TGTGAGGTATTGTGCTGTACTTTTAGACTACGAGCTAAGTTTCTGTAACATTTGCAGTCATTTCATCTTCTAGAGTTCGTTTCATCTTTTACCGGTTCCGTATCTGTTGTTTGAAGGAAACTTTATCTAACAGAGATGAGGAGACAGCAGGCTGAACAAAGAGACCGAGGGTCTACGGAAGAAATGGAGTTTCTGGAAACAACAGTCGCAGATTATAAAGAGGAACGATGTCGTTTAAAGGACGAACTGCGACACAACGAAACACAAGACGCTGTTTTCAACCCAGAAGTTCCGCTTCACAGATTAGGTTTGTATCTAAACATTCCTGCTTTTCAGTCTGGGATGATTTTAGGTGCAGTTTCACGGATTAAAGTTTTCCGTCCCCGAGACGGACTTCCGTCATTTTGAACGTTTTATTTTTTATTTAAATTTTTTGAAGTCAATATCATTATTGTCAGGTGATAGATTGTGAAATTTCCCTTTAGTAAATTACATTGATTGATTGATGATATATGATAAAATAATGGGAACGCACAAAAAGTGTGAATAGTAAAAATAAATGATGTAGGAATTGAAATAATAGGGAGCTATAATGAATAAAACAGATTTCTAAATCGAGTAAAAAAACAACAACTCACAGTTTCATTGTAAACATAATGCTAGTTTTTTTTTAAAATAAGTTTAAGGTTGTCTAACACAGGGGCCATTTTCAGTCCTGGAGTTTCATGCCTCAGACTGGCCCACTTTAGATTCATTCATTCAACCTTTATTCATCCAGGTTAGTCTCATTGAGCCCCGAGGACTCGTTTGCTCTTATCTAGCAGCTACAATTTCAGACCATAATCCCATACAATGGAATTGGAGCTCTATCAATCTGAACCTTCCTCTCCTGGGTGGAGATTCAGAGGATATCTACAACCCGGATTCCAAAAAAGTTGGGACACTAAACAAATTGGAAATAAAAACAGATGTAGAGGTGCCAACATCTAATATTTTATTCAGAATAGAACACAAATCACAGATCAAAAGTTTAAACTGAGAGAATGTATCATTTTAAGGGAAAAATCTGTTGTTTCTAAATTTCATGGCATCAACAAATCCCAAAAAGTTGGGACAAGTCCATTTTTACCACTGTGTGGCATCCCCCCTTCTTCTTACAACACTCAGCAGACGTCTGGGGACAGAAGAGACCAGTTTCTCAAGTTTAGAAATAGGAATGCTCTCCCATTCATGTCTAATACAGGCCTCTAACTGTTCAATCATCTTGGACCTTCTTTGTCACACCTTCCTCTTTATGATGCGCCAAATGTTCCCTATAGGTGAAAGATCTGGACTGCAGGCTGGCCATTTCAGTATCCGGATCCTTCTCCTACGTAGCCATGATGTTGTGATTGCTGCAGAATGTGGTCTGGCACTATCGTGTTGAAAAATGCAGGGTCTTCCCTGAAAGAGATGACGTCTAGATGGGAGCATATGTTGTTCTAGAACCTGAACATAGTTCTCTTCATTAATGGTGCCTTTCCAGACATGCAAGCTGCCCATGCCACAAGCG